ATTTCTCATGTTGGCAAATACCCAACCTGCCCCTCAAGTTTTCAAGTTTATTTCCAACAAGAGCCTTGGTAGAAGAATCAGCCAGCTGAAGCTTAATGATACCATGTTCCAGTTTAATTGACTTCTTCTCTACAAAGTCAATGTGCTTGGTCCTGCTATGCTGAATAGGGTTCATGGAAATATTGATTGTATTTAGATTGTCACAATATAATGTCACAACATCTTGTGAGACATTATACTCAGTGAGCATCTATTTTGTCCAGATATTTTGAGAACAGTTACTCCTAGCTGCAACCATTTCAGCACAGAGTTGGGAAGGCATTCTTTTGACATGAATCATAGTTCTGGTTGATTCTTGAATGATCTTATTTTTCTTTTTGTCCACTCCATTTTGATGGTGAGTTATAGGAGAAGAGACTTCACGACTCATTTCTTCAGGGAAACAGAATTTATTAGACTTGTTGTTTCCAACATCCTTGTCATGATTACTTCTGGTTCTGACAACACATCCTTCTTCAAGTTTATTCACCACATCATAGACAAGTTTATTTTTACCAAGCCTTTCAATTTTAAGTTCACCACAAACCCTTCTTTTATCAATCTGTAGTTTTGGAGTCCTTCTGACTGCTTCCATAGAGATAGCTCTTTTCATTCTTCTTAGATGAAGATGACCAAGCTTATGGTGCCACAGTTTCATCTCTTTTTCTTCTTTGGTAATTGGACACATAGTGGAGTTATTAGTGTTCTCAGGCTGCCACAAGTAACAGTTATCTTTGGATCTGATTCCTTTCATTACAACTTCTAGTTTTTCATTAATTACTAGACATTCAGATTTTGAGAAGTTGACCTTGAATCCTAGATCACACAATTGACTGATACTAATGAGATTAGCAGTCAGCCCTTTTACCAGCAGTACTTCACTCAGACTTGGAACTTCAGGGCAGTCCAAATTACCAACTCCTTTGATTTCACCTTTAGCACCATCTCCAAAGGTCACATAACTAGTGTTGTGAGGCTTAACATGATTGAGAATGTTCTTTATTCCAGTCATGTGTTTAGAACACCCACTGTCAAAGTACCAGCCTTCCTTTGCAGACACTCTCAGGGAAGTGTGGGCTATCAGGGCAGTAGCCTTTTTCTTCCATTGAGGAGTATGTGGTACCCTTTTTGACTTAGGTTTAACACCTGAGTTTTGATTAGGGTATCCATGCAATTTGAAGCAGAAGGGCTTTATGTGTCCATACCTCCCACAATGATGACATCTCCATCTTTGGTATTTTTTCTTCATATATTTCTGTTTCTGATGTTGAGAGTTGTGTTGAGACATCTGCTTTGACAATTATTTAACAGGCCTGATCTTCTTGTCTGCACCAGATTTCTTAGCTTCCACAAATCCTAGTCCAGATTTGTTTCCCACATTTTGTCCAACTTGAAGAATCTCTTCCAATTTATCTGTTCCATTGGTCAGCATCTTGACAGATTTGGTCATTTGGTTCAGTTGTGAGTTCAGCAATTGAACTTCCCCTTCTAGATGACTTATAGTTTCAAGATCTGCCCTTTTTTCAGCCTCCAGCTTTATAATGAGTTTTGATTGTTTCTCATTCTGCACACAGACTTCAGCACTTCTGATACACAATTTCTTGTAGGTATCAGCCAGTTCTTCAAATGTCACTTCTTCATCACTGGTGTCACTTTCAGATGTACAAACACCAGTTAGAGCAGTAACTAGTTTGGCAGATTCTTCTTCAGAATTACTTTCTGAATCACAGTCAGACCAAGTAGCAGTCATTCCTTTCTTTTGTTTCTTAAGAAAGGTTGGACATTCAGCTCGAATATGCCCATATCCTTCACAGCCATGGCATTGAATTCCTCTGCCTTGGTTTCCCTTCTCTTCTGACCTTGGTCTTCTGCTGGAACTGTCAATGTCAGAGGGAATGTTATGAACATTAGACCTTGACTTTGGATCTATTCTTTTGATGAGTTTGTTGAACTGTCTTCCAAGCATGGCTATAGCTTCTGAAATATTTTCTTCTTCATCCTCCTTGTTTTCAACATCAGTGTTGGATACAAGTGCTATGCTCTTGTTCTTCTTGTCACCATTATCAGTGATCCCCATCTCAAAAGTCTGAAGAGACCCAATAAGTTCATCCACTTTCAACTTGCTGATGTCCTGGGCTTCCTCTATGGCAGTTACCTTCATTGCAAATCTTTTAGGCAAGGATCTGAGAATCTTTCTCACCAGTTTTTCTTCTGACATCTTTTCTCCCAATGCTCCTGAGGTGTTGGCAATCTCCAAGATGTTCATGTGAAACTCATGAATGGTTTCATCTTCCATCATTTTTAGATTCTCAAACTTGGTAGTCAACATCTGAAGCCTTGACATTTTTACTTTGGAAGTGCCCTCATGAGTAGTTTTGAGAGTGTCCCAAACTTCCTTGGCCAGTTCATATTGATGTACTAGTCTGAAAATGTTTCTATCAATTCCATTGAACAAGGCATTTAAAGATTTGGAATTTCCCAGGGCCAACTCATCTTCTTCTTTACTCCAATCTTCCTCAGGCTTCAGACTGATTGTCCCATCTTTCTCAGTTATGGTGGGATGGTTCCATCCTTTGTTAGCAGCTCTACAAGCCTTTTTGTCCAGAGATTTTAAGAAGGAAATCATACGAGGTTTCCAGTAGTCATAATTAGTTCCATCCAGAATGGATGGTCTATTTCCAAAAACTCCTTCTTTGTCCATAGTGCCAGAAAGTGATATCCCTAGATCTCACCCAGTAATACAGGCAGGGTGCCTGCTCTGATACCAATTGAAATTCTGGCTGCAGATACTCAATGTCACGTTCAATGTTGTGACACCGTATCTGACTTTCTATAAGACAGTAAATACAAAAACAGTAAAGAACACAGTCAATTGTTTACCCAGTTCAGTGTGCAACAACACCTACTCTGGGGGCTACCAAGCCAGGGAGGAAATCCACTATAAGAGATGTTAATTCAGGAATAAACCAACCAGTTTATCTCCTTCACTTAAGACCTACCCAATGCAACTTCAATCTAAGTACAACTTAAACCTGAGTTCCTACTCACTCCCCCTCAATCACAACAGTGATACATAAAACAATTTGACTAATGAATTGATGAAGACACTCTTCAAAAACATACACTTGATTAAGCTTCACAGCTTTTTAATCAAGCAACACAAACACTCTTGCTTCACAACTTTGAGTGATACACACACCTAACTTGACTCTGCTTCACAGCTTTAGTCAAGAGACATACAAACACTCTTGCTTCAAAGCTTTGAGTGCTACACAACCCTTACAATTAAAAACCTATTCCAAGTCACTTATCACAATGATAATTACTTGGATTACAATAGTTAAAACTATACAACTTCTAAATGATCTTCTGTCAAAAAGGGATTACTTTCAAAACAGCAGCTCTGTTGAATATATAGCAGCTGCATCTTCAGTTAGGGTTTCCCCAAAAAGCTAGGGTTAATTCCATTTGAACTTAAGACTAGGTCACAGGACTTTATCAACCAGGTTAGGGTTGAGCTAGGTTAACCCAAAGAAAACGCAGGATTCTGTTCTGGAAAGACTGAGTCATTTTCCTGAAAAAACTCAGAATTAACCAAACTGCAAAACTGTTAGTTCAGAACTGGATGTCTTAACATTTGTTATGACATCTGAATTCCTGTTTACTGATTTTGGTAAATGTGATCATTTTGCAAAATGCTCAGATACACACTCATAAACATCAGTACCTGTATGACAATATTTTTCTGCAAAGGTACCTAATAAATCTGTACCTAATAAACTAGAATGTTATGACATCAGTCATGACATTCATACACCTGGTTTTGCCAAAAAAGCAAGCCAATACCTAAACAACTACACTTAACATCATCCTTCTTAGGGATCAAAGTAACAATTGTTTTGTTAAACGCCCTGTAAAGCTTACTCTTCTAAAAAGCTCCCTTATAGTAGCAATCACATCACTTTAAACAGTATCCCAATAGGACTTAAAAAATCTAGAACCATATCCATCCCTTTTAATAGTATCCCATGGTAAAATTGATACTATATCTCCTTCTCCCTATTTGACCCAAGTCTTAGCTTATGCTTCATTTTGTTTTTGTGTTGTGTTTATTTTACTTTTGAACATTAGAATGTGTTCTATTGGGCCTTCATAGTTTAGTCTGACATCCCATTGATAAATCTTTCCTAGCTTGTAGCACTCCTTTTCTGTTTTAAAAAAAGGTTGTAGCACACCTTTTGCTGTTGCAATGGTTTCAAGAAGTTTTTCCTATCACTTTTTCTTAAAATAGAAACCTCACTGACAAGAAAATATCTTTGGTCCATACTCAGCTAACAACCCTATCTCAAGGCTTATATTCAAATTGGAGGAATATCTAAATACGCATTTTAGAGAGTTCATGCATGCCCATTGCTCTCCTTTAAAGCAGGTAAAATTAACTAAGTTAATTTTCTATATTCTGTTTGGATACCTGCTCTCCTTTAAAGTAGGTTAAATTATCTAAGTCAATCTTTTATAATCTGTTTGGATACCCCTTTTTTTAAACTTGAATCGTCAACTAAAATTTATTGCTACCAATTAGTTTTGCTTCCAGCAACATGCTCTGCAAATTTCCGTGTTTATGTATTATTATGAGATTTATATCATGGTAAAATTGATACTATGTCTCCTTATCCCTATTTGACCTAAGTATTAGCTTAAGCTTCATTTTGTTTTTCTGTGTTGTGTTTGTTTTGCTTTTGAACATTAGAACGTGTTCTATTGGGCCTTCATAGTTTAGTCTGACAGCCCATTGATAAATCTTTACTAGCTTGTAGCACTCCTTTTCTGTTTTAAACAACCAATAATAAAACTCCATCTCTTTTATTTTTCTATTTCTTATATTCAAAATAACATTTTTTCCTAAGTACTAGAGTTCTTGAACATATAATATAATATCTATATTTTTATTTTTTGAAGAAATGGATAAGTCATGGATTACTAAGCCACTATCATTGATTGCGTATCAACAAGGGATAAAAGAATTTATTGATTTTGCATTTAAAGGTGTAAAATAAAATGATGTAGTAATATGCCTTTGCAAACGTTGCGGTTTCAGAAAATCAAAGAGTAGGAGTGACATGTTCGACCACTTAAGTTGGTCACCATTTTCGTAGGGATACACCATGTGGATCCATCATGGAGAGTCTTTTGTACGACCTAGTACTATCTCCCCTAGTACTATTCTAAATATGGTTGAAGATACTATAATTGTCGAAGATCCTATTCAGAACATGATCAACGATGCATTTGGAGTTGATAGGAATCATGCAAATGAAATACCATATGCGTCAAATTTGGAGATTGACCAAGAAGATTATGCGATGCCAAGTGCAACTCAGGAAAGAAACGAAGCCAGGGAGTACTATGAATTGGATAGAGAAGGAGAACAACCTTTATATGAAGGGTGTAGATGATATTCAAGACTATCTTTTTTGGTTAAGTTTTACCATATAAAGTGTTTATGTGGATTGAGTGAGAAGGCAATGACAATGATTTTAGAGTTAATAAAAGATGCATTTGAATATGCAAACATTCCAAGTTCATTCTATGAAGTCAAGAAATCAATCACAAAACTTGGTTTGAATTATGTAAAGATATCTGCATGCCCAAATGGTTGTATGCTTTATTTGGGAGAAGATGAAGAGAGGGAGACTTGCAGAATTTGCAACACTTCAAAATTAAAAACAAATGAAGATGTCTCTGTTAACAAGAAAAAGAAGAAAATTCCTGCCAAGGTTCTTCGTTTTTTTCCATTAAAAGACGACCGAGGATATGATATGGCATACAACAGATACTAACAATGATGGAATGTTGAGGCACCCTAGAGATTCAAAAGCTTGGAAGAAATTTGACTTGACACATACTTGGTTTTCATCAGATCCGAGAAATGTACGCCTTGCATTGGCTAGTGATGGGTTTAATACTTTTGGTGTGATAAGTATAAACAATAGTATTTGGCCAGTTGTTCTCATTCCATATAACACTCCTCCATGGGTTTGCATGAAGAAGACATCATTTATAATGTCAATGATAATTCCCGGTAAAGAAACACCAGGAAATAATATTGATGTCTACTTACAACCTTAGTCAAAGAGCTGAAGAAGTTATGGTTAGATAGTGTGGATACATACAATTCTTTCAAGAAAGAGATGTTCAAGTTGCATGCAAATTTGATGTGGACGATTAGTGACTTTCCAGGTTTGGGTTCACTTTCTGGGTGGAACACATACATTGGACTTTCTTGCCCATCATGTAACTTTCAAAATACACTTCTCCGTCTTAAAGCTAGTCGTAAATGGTGTTTTATGGGTCATCGTCGTTTCCTTGATCAGAGACACAGGTTTAGATTGAACAGGATTCGCTTTAATGGTGAACAAGAAATGCGGAGTCCACCGAGAACATTATCTGGACATGAAGTTTTTGAACTGGTTAAAGATGTTGAAGTCATCTTTGGTAAAAAGCTATTGAAAGAAAAATCGGTAAAAAGAACACATGAGGGACAACTTATAGAAGGTGATAGTACAAAGGGTGGTCCTACACAAGGTCATCCGCAACAATGGAAAAAGAAAAGCATATTTTTTGAACTTCAATATTGGAAGGATAATCTTTTGCGCCATAATCTTGATTCGATGCATATTGAGAAAAATGTGTGCGATAATGTCATATTTACTTTACTAAATGATAGGCAAAAGAGTAAAGACCATTATAAAGCTCGAGAAGACCTTCAAAATATGGGAATAAGACCTGAGCTTTGGCCTGATGAAAATGGTAGAATTTCTTCGGCAACCTTTACTTTAATGGGTAAAGATAAAAGGAATTTTTTAACAACTTTAAGGAGTATTAGGGTGCCTGATGGTTATTCAAGCAACATTTCTAGATGCATTGACTTAGTAAATCTCAAGGTGAATGGAATGATGAAGAGTCATGATTGTCATATATTAATGGAACAAATTCTACCATTAGCCGTTCGCACAACATTATTTCATGAGATTTCAGCAGTTTTGACTGAGTTGTGCTCATTCTTTAGACAATTATGTGCCAAGATATTGAAAATTGAAGACTTGGAAAAATTGCAAAACCAAATTATCCTCACTTTATGCCACATGGAAATGTTATTTCCTCCCTCGTTCTTCACGGTTATGGTCCACTTGGTTGTTCACCTTGTTGAAGAAGTTAAACTTGGAGGTCCTGTTCATTATCGATGGATGTATCCTGTTGAAAGGTAAACTATGTGATTTTGTTCTAATGTTACTAACTTAGAAAGTAGAAATTTTTTAACCGATATTATTGTGGTTCAATAATAGGTACTTGGGAAAACTTAAATCACATGTACGTAATAAGGCAAAACCAGAAGGGTCTATTGCGGAAGGATACCGTTTTGAAGAGATTTTGACATTTTGTTCAAGATATCTAGAAAACATTGAGACTAGATGGAATCAACCTGGACGTGTAGATGATGACCCTATTGGTGATATCTAAACAGGTTCACGTGTAGCAGAATTGTTTCCTAGAGTTGGAAAACCTGTGGGTGGATCTTCGTATTACACTAACACCAATTGAAAAGTTGCAAGCTCAATAGTTCCCCGTGTGAGTTTTGTACAAAAATAGATGTTTGTATTGAATTTGTTTTTAACTATAACAAGACTTATTGGATGTTGTATCGTGTATAGATTTGAAACAATCTTGAAAACATTCATGGACCAGATAAAGATGTTTTCATTAGTCTTGCTCATGGCCCTTTTGATAAAGTTAAAAGATTTACCGTGTTCAATATCAATGAATTTAAGTTTCGAACATTGGAACGAGACAATCTTTTAAAAACACAAAATAGTGGAGTTTTTGGCATGTTTGGGACACGGAGTTATTTAAGCAATAATGATACTCAAATAAGATTAAGAGGGGTCCCTTACTATGGAAGATTGATAGACATTATTGTGCTTTCCTATGATGGCTTCATAATGCCCATGTTTAAATGTGAATGGGATAATACCACAAACCCAAGAGGAATTAAAATAGATAAGTTGGGTTTTACCTCTATAAACTTTTCAAGACTACTACATAATGGGGAACATGAAGATAATGAGCCATACATTCAAGCATCAGAAGCTCAGATGGTTTTTTATGTGGATGATGAGAGTGAACAAGGATGGAGCATACCTGTTAATTTGAAGCCAAGAGACTTGTATGACATGGGTGGAAATGATGAAATTATGACACCCATTGAGCCATATCCATCACAAAATTTGGAACAAATATTTTCTAATGATGATCTTGGAACTTCAGCGGCCAATGATGACAATAATTAAGATATAGTTTTTTATTGATAAGAATTCTAGTTTGTTTGTAACTTGTGTGAGACTTATGTTTTTTGTTGCTTATCCCTAATTAATGTATTAGATGACATTGTTACTCTATGTTTTTTTGTTGCTTATCCCTAATTAATGTTATAGATGACATTGTTACTCTATGTTTTTTTGTTGCTTATCCCTAATTAATGTATTAGATGACATTTTTACTCTATGTTTTATTACATGATTTGTCTTTTATTTTGTGTTTTAATACTTATACTTGTAGTTGAAGCCTGTTGCGAGACAATGACTACACCATATGAGAAAATGCGCCTCAAAAGAATGGAAGAAAATAAGAAAAAGCTAGATGCTCTCAATCTTCCTACAATCTCTCAATCCCTTAACAAATCATCTGAATCTTCTTCCAAACCATCACCTGTTAGTAATAAATTCTCAATACTACTCCATACAAATTAATTGTATTGATTATTGACTGATATTCACTGATGCATTTTATTTAGTCTGTGAAGGGTCTTCCGAAGTTTGTACAACCTGGAGAGCTTGAAGTAAACAAAAAGCGCCTACGTTCAACTACAACTCACAAATCATCAATAACCCCTCCCCCGATCAAAACTACAATAACGCATCTACCAATCCAAACTGCAAAAGATGTTGTGGTCGAATATGAGGATGAAGATGTTGTGGAAGGAGATGAGACAGAAGATGATGTGACAGGAAATGAGGCCGAAGATGTTGTGGTAGGAGATGAGGCTAAAGATGTTGTGGTAGGAGATGAGACTAAAGATGTTGTTAAAGTGGCTAAATCTGTGTATTGGGATGTAAAAGTCATAAGTAAGTAATTTAAAGTTAAAGTATTTGTAAATAATTTAAATTTTTTTACCAAGTTGAGTTATGAAATTAATTTGTTTACTTTTTATATGATAGATAAGGAGGGTGTTGTACCCCAAAATTTGCCCTCCCATATTCTTCAAAGATTTGCCAAGTCAAAGCTTCAAAATTCCCCAAGGGTTGCACAGTTCAAGGGCCTCTTAAGCAGGCAAAATTAGGGTTTTGGTTCTGATCAAGAAAATGAAGTTTCCAAGGGTCCAATCAAGTCCCACATGCCTACAAATATGGTCAAGCATCCTCATATCAAGTTTCAAGACTTTCAGCACAAAATTGCACAGTCAAAAACCCTAATTGCACTACAGTCAACTGTAGGGGCAAAATGGTCATTTGACAGTCAAAAGTTCAAATTTTTGATCAACATCTCATTTTGAAGCCACAAACATTATTTGATCAATGCTTGATCATGATTCTCAAAGCTTGGCTCAAAAATCATCAAGATGCAAAAGTTTCCTTATTTGGACAACTGAAAAAGTCAACTGTAAATTGACCAGGGCATAACTTTCACATGGATTACCAAAAAAATTCCATCCAAATCTCATTTTGAAGAGAAAGACATTTCCTACAACTCATCTTCATACTTCAAGTCCAAGAAATGCTCTCACAAAAAGTTATCAATTTCAACATTATAGGTCATTTTCAAAAGTCAACAAAAAGGGACTTTAGGTCAAAGGCCATAACTTGATATTGGTAAATCAAAATGACATGGGACCAAAGGCATTGGTTAGAGGACTCAAAAACCTTTCCAAAATGTCCAAGAACATGAGCAAAGCTTATAAATTGAGCAAGTTATGCCTTGTGGAAGTTGGGAATTTTTTGGATATTTTGAAAAGTCAACATTGGTTCAAATGACCTAAAATTGCTAATGGGCCTATTTTTCTTCCACAATTCATCATCCCAAGCATGTGTACGACCACTTGGCCCAAAGGGAAGTATTTCTTCATTTTTTATTTATTTATTTGAATTTTTATTAATAATAATTCATTTAAATCAATTAAATACATGAAAAATATTTAACCTAAGTTTTTCAATCTTTTTGTGCATGAAATATACTCAATAATTCGTGCATAATCAAATATGGGAAGATTTGAAGAGAATTGGTCATGATTGGTACAAAATAGCATGGAAAATATTGAAAAAAGATCTTTGAAAATCAAATCTCTCAAACCATGAATGCCAAGGATTTGGATTGTTTTATTTGACCTAATTCACTCATACTTATACAAAGAACACAAACCTAATGAAAAAAACCCCTAAGCTGCGCAAGAATCTGAAGATCAAACTCGCACTTTTTCTTAAAAATCTCAATTCCGAAAACACTTTTGCAGGGCGACTCAAGGCAAGATTTTCATCTCATTAGCTTCCTGAAGCTTCAAGGAGAGTTTTCCAATCAAAACCAATCGTTCTAACACCCTAGATTGGTAACACGACCTCGCCCTGTACAGAAAAAATCTCATAATCTTGCATCTCGATTCATGCACTTTTAATAATTTTTGATGCTTGATTCATATTCAATATTCAATTCTGAAGCTAACCCATATGTTTGATTGAATTTTTATGCACCCTACGCGAATCTACCATTATCGTTTTTTTAGGGTTTGAAGAACTTTGAATTGGGGTTTCCCAGTTCAGGAAAAATTAGAACCCCACAGTACCATAAATGGATTCAGCATGATTGGACGATCACAAGGCTATCCTCGCGCTCAATTTATGAGCATCCATGGCCTAATCGTTATTTTCTGTAATGGTGTCTTAGGGAACGGGTTAAAACCGTTGCCAATGTTTTGATATTTTCAGGAAAAACAAATAAGCAAGGAAGAAGATGATGCGTGGAAGGGCACCATTGGAGCATTCAAATTTCACGCGCTGACTTTCCATTAACCATTATTTTCTCATTATATTATTCTTCAGTTATTTAATATACAAGAAGCGCGTTCAGTACGATTGGCAAGGCATAAAACTGGTAATCTCTAGGACCTGGGTTCGAGCCCCAGGTCCCCCATCCCTTTCATGTTATTTTTACTAACGCGTTTGTATGTAATTTCGTGACCAAGGAACACCGTGCATCCTCCAAATCAAGCTTGCCACGTCTATCTCAAGATCAATCAGAAGGCTAGAATCTGGAGAACACCATAGGCATAAGTCAACGAAGCTACACGTGGTCAATAAAGTCAACAAGGCCAGGACCTTAATGGGCCAGAATTACCACAATTTCACCTCCACTCTGGGGACAGATACCCCCCCTTGGTTTGCAAATTTTCTTCACTTTCTTTATTTTTCATAATTTTTGTTTTCTTTTAATTATTGTTTGTTTAATTAATTTAATGTTTTCATAAAATATAAAAAAAACACATAAAAATCAGAAAAGAGAAAAATAATAAATATTTTTATTTTTAGTATTTTCATAAATAAATTATATTGATTCATTTAGTTATTGAATTAGGGTTACTTATAATATTTTCATGATAAAAATCTAAAAAAACATAGAATTAGGATTTAATTAATTTTCATCTTTTTTATTTTTCTTCCATAAATAATTAAAATATTAAATATGTATTTTTTGTAATTAAAATGCATGTAAATTAATTAGGGTTAATTTTAGGGTAAAACTTTAATCTTCTTTTTAATAAATTAAAATAACTAGAATTAGGGTTAGCATTTATTTTAATTAATTCCTTTTCCATTAAAATTACAAAATACCAAAAAATACCAAAAAGACAATTTCTTTTCTTTCCTTTAATTAATTAATTTCATCACTTAATTTAATTTTGCAAAAGGGTCCAACGCCCTCGTTTAATTTTTATTTAATTCGCATATTTATTTTATTTCGTTTAATATTTATGTACCTCTCCCAAGGCCTTGTAATTGATTTCTCGTACTTTTAATTCTTTTATTTTCTTTACTTTATTTCTTTATTTATTTTTTCTGTCAAAACGGGTTCGAGAAATTTTGGCGATGTGGACCCGCGCCTTTTGTAATAGCTTAGAATCTTTTACTTTCTCGCAATATTTTAACTGTTAATCAAGGCATGAAAGAATGAATGGACAAAAATAAAAACAAACGCTAGATCACCAATAACATGACAAAAGGCAAAAATAAATGAAAACGACACACAAATCACACACCACCCCTAGGGTATGCCTCACTGTTGCCTTGCCTCGAAAGGTGATCGTCGAGTAGAGGATGTCTTAGTAAGTCCTCATGATCCGGGAACCTGGCATGAGGGTAGCTTCTAAGGTGTCTTCCCATTGCTCTGGTGATCACCATGTCCCGAACCTCGAATTGACCCGAACACCTCCAACGGTGGTGCTACCTACCTCTCAATGGTGGGATGACACTACTTTAAAGGACATTTACACAGACGAATTCCTTAGGGTAGGTAGACGACTCTAGATACTTGCTCTAAATTCAAAACAAATCAAAAATACTTTTCACACCGACACCTTTTCAAAAAGTTTTCGAAAGCAATTTTTCAAACACTCTTGAGGACCGATACAAGAGTCGAACTGGAATTTTCAAAGAAACTTTTTAAAACCCACAGTTGAAAAGAAAACAAACCATTTTTGAAAACACAAGTGAACAAGTATCTAAGAGCCCATGGATAACCATGGATAGAAAGGGTGCTAACACCTTCCCTTTCTATAATCTACCTCCCGAACCGAGAGCAATCTCTTTAAGGAATTTTTCTGTGCTTTTGTCCTTTCCATTTGGAGAAAATAAAAGACGGTGGCGACTCTTGCTTCCGCGACATTTCGCGAACCAGCTTTAAACAGTCAGTTCCAGATCCACCGATCACAGAACTGGCGACTCTGCTGGGGACTTAACTTAAAGTGAGGTGTACCTTAGGGTTAGTTCATAACTGTGTTTTCAATTGCTTTCCTTGTTTGCTTTAAATTGTGGGACTGTCTTGGGAGTTCTATAGATCCTAACCCAGATCTGGGGATACCTTCTTAGAAAGTAGCAACAAGGCTGTGAGGGAACTGTGCGGGGTATACCGACATGGTTGAAACAGTCTGCTACGTTGATGTGGCACTTTGGTGTGTACCGGTAACCCTTGAGTTCAGTCAAGGAGAGTACGGGGCCTCCGCGTGGTGTCGTAAAGCATCAACAGACCTTAGGAACCTTAATTGAACTATCTTGGCCTCTTTAGGGTAGTGAGATAACTGACTTTGGTGCAGACCGAGGTTGGTTGATACTCGATACTACACTCAATTGAGGGTTGCTTTCCTGGAATATTTCGGTCTCCAGTTCAGTGGCTAAATCGAAACGATGAACAATGAAAGCAATCCCGTGATATTGGGACCCTTAGAACCCGGTTACGTTGATAGGACAGGTTGAACCCACCAACTTCAAGAGGGTACTACCCAGACCCCATGCTGGCCTTAAACCCTAAGGGCTTGTCTTGTGTGCCTTGTGTGCCTTACATGTTTGTCTTTGTAAATATCTGTGGTGTGTTTAATCATAGCATCATGACATCATCCAGCATCATATGCATTGACTAACCATTTCAGGGGTTCGAATTTTCATCTTTGTTCTTGTTTTGTAGGACATGGAAACTGTTCGTAGAAAGACAATTCAAATCAGTCTTGTAAGGATCCCTCCTCAGCTTAAGGAGCTTATATCCAGGATTCCCGAGAACTCCTCATTCAGTGAGAGACATGGAAGTCTCATCAGCTTGGTCAATACCAACATTGAGGAAGATATGATCAAGGTCCTGTTCCAATTCTTTGACCCTCTGCATCACTGTTTCACCTTCTTGGACTATCAGCTGGTACCTACATTGGAGGAGTTCTCCCGGCTCCTGAAGATCCCTATCCTTGATCAGCTACCCTTCAATGGTACAGAAAAGGAACCTAAGCTTGAAGAGATTGCTAAAGCCTTGCACCTACAGTCATCTGACCTCAAGGGACATTGGGAAGTTAGAAGTGGTATCAAAGGGTTCTTAGCCAGGTTT